CGCGCACAGCACACAGCTTCCAGGTGATCCAGGCACACAGCTTCCAGGTGATCCAGGTCCTCAGCTTCCAGGTGATCGTCAGCAGCCACTAAGATACGATGATGGACGTTTTCAGAGTGAGCGTCAGGGTCAAGGTTCGCAGTCCAAGAGTGGTCGAAATGCTCAAGAAGGGCAGTTTGGCAACCAAGGAGCAGGCGTTTCGTTTGATCCTGCAAGCGTCGTTGAGGGCTCCGAGAAGAAGCCTAGTGATGGTCAATCTACGAGACCTACGGCTCAGCAGTGGTTAGGTCCCACCCAAGGTCAAGATCCTATGGCTCTCTTGGCAGGTGGAATGGCTCAGCTTCAAGCCGTGATGATTCAGCAGCTCACGAACGATAAGGACCGGTCAGGAGATAAAAGTCCAGAGACGGTGAAGCCGGGAGTGTCTTCGCTCCCCTCTCTTCCGCAGGTTTCTCCAACAACGGCATCAGTGGATATTATGGACTGGTTGGAGCTCTTGGCGGCACCGATGAGTGACCTAAGCGACGGGTCAGGCGAGTGGTGGCTTCGGGTGAAGTCGGAAGCCTCAAAGGCGTACCAAGCCTGGACCAGCGCAAGCCCGATCGAGAAGCTTCGGATTCAGCCACCTCAAGTTTCGGAACTCGAGACCGGGCGCTGGAGCAGAGTGAACTCAAGGGCATCGTCAATGATCCTGCTTGCGCTACATGGCGATGTACGCCAGGAAATTGTATCCAGGCGTTCAACAGGGTCAGCTGCAGCACTCCTTTTTCGTCTCCTTACAATATATCAGCCAGGCGGCCAACAAGAAAAAGTTCAGATTCTCTCCAATCTACAACAACCCGCTCAAGAACGAGATCCACAACAAGCAGTGTCTGCATTAAGGGCCTGGGCTCGTTGGCTTCGCCGATGTCGTGACCTAGGCGTCGCAGCGCCAGACCCTAGCCTTTTGGCTAGGGGTTTGACGTCGAGGACTAGACTTGTGCTTGAACGTGATCAAGAAGTGAGTTTTCGGACAAGCTTGGTACGGAGTAACTTGTTGGTGGACACCAAGCCAACCTACGATACGGTGGAACAGTACTATCACCACCTTCTTGCAGAGTGTGAGGCAATGGCCGTAACTGGAACTACAAGTGGCACTACGACTTCAACCACGAGTACGGGAACAAGTGGCAAGCCAGAGCCTAAGATGAGGCCGATGAAGCCGGACCCAAAGAGTCCTCCGCCACCACCTCCAGCTCCAACGAGAACTACGTCACAGAATACTACAACCTCAGAGGACGATCCGACAAGCGTGCGCAAACCCCTTGTCGTTACTATGGCAAGTCCTTTAAGGGCTGTGCGAGGGGAGCAAAGTGCCCTTTTCTTCACTCGTGGGATGGCAATGAGAAGGAGAGAGCGGGACGATGCAATCTATGTGGAGGCAAACACGCTGCCAAGGATTGCCCGACTAAGAAGCCGGCCACTACGACCTGGACTTCCTCTACAACATCCTCTGCAGCACCAAAGGCATCGCCAACAAGGCCTTCGTCTACTTCCTCGGCGACTTCCCCTTCTTCGAACAAGAGCGCAAGGATTGATGAGACTCCGCAAGTCGAAAGTATTCCTCCCAGGTCCTCGGCATCTTTAAGTGAGACAACGCCAGATATAAAGGAGGTCCTTGCGGATGTTGGAAAAATGTTAAAGGCTATGACAGCCACCACTACGATGAAGAAGGCCAACGTCGTTGAGAATGCAAACCCAGAGGACGAGGGAGAGGTTACTATGATAAAGGTTGTCCATGTGCCCGACCCCGAGGACGTCAATGAGATCCCCACCGGTGATACAGGTGAAGGACGGGAGCCAGAGGACCATGCAGGGGCGATTCGAGGTTTGCTTGACAGCGGAGCTAGTCACGCCCTTAAGGAAGCAACTCAAGAAGAATATGATCGTGGGCTGCCCATCAAAGTTACGTTGGCGGGTGAGGACACCAAGGTTCTTCGTCAGAATGTTTGTGGAACGGTTTTGGTGACTGGAGAAGGAACACAGTCAGTGCAGCCGATTGTGCCGATGGGTGCATTGGTGGAAGACTTAGGGTGCAGTTTGCAGTGGAAGAAAGGTGCCCTCAAGCTAAGGCATCCCACCAAAGGCTTTATCAAGGTCTACCTCAACAACAACTGCCCAGAGATTGACTTTCGTGAAGCTCACAAGTTGATCAAGGAGTTGGAGAACAAGCACCTCGCTCAGCTCAATGCTCAGGTTAGCTCGTTGACGGCAAGATTGGAGGTTCTTCGTAAGGAAGAAAATCGGAGCTGGGACGAGTTGCTGAGGGAGTACGTCAAAACTGGTTCTCAATCCACAATGCTACGGGCAATCATGAAGTGCCCCTTCACCAGTGGACTGCCAACTGAGGTCCAGTCGATGGTCGCTGAAGGCTTTACACTGGACTCCGGCGAGAAGTACCTCAAGGAACTGCCCCTCAACAAGAGAAAGCGCAAGGCCCTCTTGAACTCCAATGCCTGGGTCGTGCATATGTTTGCAGGTGGCGATGACAATAACACGGACTTTGTCAATGTAATTTCCAAGGGAGGAAAGATCGTCTTGGAAGTGGACTCCAAGTCTTCCAAGCAATGGGATGTACATGGACGGCAAGGTGTATACCGTCTTCTTTTGTGGGCTGCCTCAAAAGGAAAGATCACGGATGTGATTGGCTCCCCACCTCAGTCGACCTGGTCATCTTCAATAACCGCGGGGGCACGATGTGGGAACTCAATCCTAAGGACGGTGTCAGCTCCTTATGGACAACAACCTCTTCAGCCTCTACAGCAACACAGGGTGGATCAGGAAACAGCCTGTGTCGCAAAGCAGATGATGGTTTGGATGATTGCGACAATAAAGGGCCCTGGAGTTGTTGGCTTCCTAATGGACTTTCCCCAGGAACCGGACCTCCCAGGACACGCTTCGTTTTGGTCAACTGAGATGTGGAGAAGCTTCAGGTCAATTGGGGCCACTCCCGTGCAGACTTTCATATGGGTGTCTTCGGGCATCAAGGGAAGCGTCCAACTACGGCCGGGACGATTTATCCAGAAATATCTCAACTGGATGGATGTTATGCTGTCGGAAGTGGTTTTGTTCCACCATCAATGTTGAGGAGATCAGAGTTTCGAAAGTGGCCCCCTGACTTTGGCAAGGTCGTCGCCGATGCAGTCTTGAGTCTTCATGGTGCCAGTGCGGTATCAGATCAAGAGCTCTACGACATTGATGTTATGGTCAGCAAGCTTACGAAGGAACAAAGGTTGGAATGGAAGAAGCACCTTAGCAATGATCACCAACCTTACAGAAGCGATTGTTCAGTGTGTATCAATGCTCAGCCAACGGGCTACCAGCATAAAAGGAGGCGCCACCCATCCATGTACACGCTGGCCATAGACCTCGCAGGTCCTTTCAAGCGGAAGGGCAAGGACATGGACTTTGATGACTACAAGTACATCATGGTTGGGGCCTACCGGTGTCCAAAGAACTACTTGAGCGCAATGGAGTTGGATCCAGATGTTTATGTTCCAGATGATGATGACCTCCCTCATGGTGAAGATCCCATGGAAATTGAGGAGGAAGAAAAGGTATCGGGTGGAGAAGAGCCACCGGAAGATGAAGCTTCCTCAGATGATGGAGGGGCGATTGAGAGCGAGGTCGAGGAGCTTACCAAGAAGGTGGAGCATGGGACAGTGTATGTGGCGCGATGTTTGAGGAGGAGAACTGGACCTCATGTACTACAAGCGGCCAAAGAAATCCTACTTCAACTTCGTCAGTCTGAGCTGCATGTGGCGACAATCCATACCGACCGAGCTCGCGAGTTTAAGTCGCAAGCTTTCAAGGACTGGGTCAACGACGAGAAAATCAAACACTCTCGGACAGCCGGTGGCGACCCAGCGGCTAATAGCACTGCAGAGCTTGGTGTGAAGTGGGCAAAGGCACGGGTGAGAGCGTTGCTAAGAAGCGGAAGGGCCTCTCCGAATGAGTGGCCAATGGCAATTGCCCAAAGGCTCCGTGTGTGTACAGAGAGCCAACATAGGCCAGTTTTGTCCCAGAGCCCACTTTCATCCCAGAGCCTACACGGGTTTTTCCGTAGAAATACTGACACATGCATATGCTGTTTAGAACAACGCATCATTGGGCATTGTATCCATGATCTATCGCACAGTAGATCCCGACTTGATGTTTTGTTTTAATGATTGGTCATGAGTTTTAATGCAAGCGATAGCATACGAGATCGGCAGGTATGTACGTAAAAATGCCCCTGCGTATATGTGTGTATATCTTCAGGGTGTGTGGTATACATGCTCGAATATACTTTTTATGCATTCGCAAAAAACCCTGCACTCCGGCCGAATCCGCAGGCATTTTGCCTTCGAGCTCAGTCAGTCGATGCTGGCTGGCTTTTTTTCTCGAGGTTGCCTCTGTCTCTGTTTGCTCTGATTTGTTAAGCTTCGTATAGATACCTATCACTAGATCTATTATGGAATATTCTCCGTATATCATAGCCACGGATATGCGGCGCTGTCCTAGCACTATTTATAAAACCATGCCGCTAGATTAGGTTATCGTTGCATGCATATAGGGTCGTGGTGGAATGCAATAACAGTTTTTTTGAGTGACCATGTCTGGTCGATGGGCGATGCTGAAGAGTGCATCCGAGCGAAAGCGAATGCAGGAAGGTGCACCCCCCCGCCCTGCTCATGTGCTGCAGACCGTGTGCATCATGTGCCGTGATATAGCTAGCTCGAGCAATCGCAAAAGCTGCCGTGCTGCAGGTTTTGCTCGGGCCATGCGCATGAGTGAGTATGTATACACGTTTTTAGGGGCTCATGTCCATGTGCAACCGACCGCGAGGTTGAGACTTTCGAAGTTCAGCTCGTGTGTGCTATCAGCTGCAGGGCATTCATCATGTATTCAGCTCGCACGGGGCTCGGGGACTTTTTGCCAAACACACGTTTTTTCACTAGCCATCTGTAGCTAGCAGCGCCATGTCGTCGAACAAAAAAGGCGAGCGAAGCATGGATGCACCGGCGAAGATGAAGGTCATGGACTGTGGGGCGGAGCCAGGGGCCAAACAGGTCCTGAGGCCGCTTCGCTTCAAGTGCGACGACACCCGACTGCAATCTCATGCATGCACTCATGCTTTTCATGGTGTGTATATACAACATAGATACACACACACACACACTTCGAACTTAGAACAACACTACATATGAGGCTGTGAGCCTCAAGATCGCAAATGCTATCCGCCCGGCTATTGAAAGCCGGCTGGACCAGTTGCGGGATGACAAGGCCGGCAGCAGGAATTTAGACAACTTGGCGCGAGTTCTAACAAACTGTTGATCGTTCGAGGAGCGGTGCATATGCTACATCGATGGCACAAAGACGAATGGGGACGATGTGAGTCGACCCGACAACTACGAGCTGCTCAAGGTCTACATTGTTTCCCTGACTTCCGGAGTCACGTGTGCCAAGGACCTCCTACCGTGCCTGGCTCACCGAGTCTGCATCCCAGATACCGAATTACAACTTGATGGCATGACCCTAGGCCGGGCGAGCCTAGCAAACAAACAGCAAATGTTTGCATGTCAAGGTCGTGGTTCTCTATCTGAGCTGTGTCTATGGGTTCTGGTCGGCCCGAGAAATCAAGCGGCGTGGCCGGAAGGGTGCCATCAAGGCTGCTGCTGTAGCTACAGCTATAGATCTCGTGATTTGATGTGTGATGCATGTGGGTTGGCAGCCAGACCAGCATAGAGCCTGGCAGGACTGGGCGGTGCTCCAGGGCTCCAATCTACGAAAACTGGCAGCCTATGTCATCACGGCCCTGCATCGTACGCCGTATGCAAGGAGCTTCCACACACATTTATGGTGATAGGGCACTGTGCTAGCGATGTAGTGAAGCACATGTGCACAGGACAGAGGAGATGATGGTGTTGAAAGCCCTGCACCAGCGGATCAACCGAACGGTTGTGCCTGATCGACCCAACCGCCGGGCGACGAGTCAGGCTGCGATCGCGATCGAGGATTTGGCTCATGATTCGCAGTCGTCGTCGTCGGCGACGTCGTCTGCTGGTTCGACGATCGAGCTGCTCGACTCGGACGACGATCGCGAGGTGTCATCGGAGGACGATTGCGAGGTGGCCTACTGCGATCGCGAGGTGGCCCATGGCAACATGAGCGATCCCACACACTCACAAGATACGTACATAGCATGCCGAGTGACCGAAACTTCCTTTTGAATTTTCGAATTCCTTAGGTGTACACATCATACATGCTGTTACACGAGCAAAACAATGCTATAACATATCCAGGAAATGGACGAGACAGAGCTCGAGAAGATGCTGTCCGAGATCTACGAGCCGGACGACCCGCTGGAGGCCCTCCCACTGTCGAGTAATTCATAACCTAACATTAAAACATGCTTCAACATAGGATCGTGGCTAGATATGCGTATGTGCCTCTACCCGCTTGGGCTATGGCAGTAGCGACCATTGCATTTCTTTTTTTATGTTATTACAATAGGCCTTATATTGTATAAAAAAGAGGTGGTTGGATATACCAGGGCTTACGATCAGTTTTATAAACTTGTGCATGGTACCGTTTAGGACGATTGTTTTACATTACTGCTGTAGTTTCATATTTCGCTCGGTTGCAGGCGAAACTGGGCTGGTCAGGGCTTTCTAAAATACCGCGCCTTTATTCTTAGCCGGTATTTATAATCGGAACTCCAAGCACCAGCTCTGGATCATATCCCAACGAGTACCAGCATATGTACTCAAAAAGTGTATACCAGTAGACCATAATCAATTATAGCAGCGCCCAATTATATCGCGACCGTACAAGGCGATCTCGAAATATATGCTATACCCCCAAATATGTAAATTTTTTATGCAACTTCAAAACGCCCCTTACCTCGACCCCCTCGCCGAGGCTGTCACAATCGTCTCCGATGGCGACATGGAGATCGAGGTGCCAATGCTCAGGTGTTCAGTTTTGGTTGGGGGGTATTGCGAATCCCTGAGCATGCACATGTGATAGGATCCCGGATCCGGAGTGCAATTATTTATTCATGCATATGTATGCACAGACCATATTCTCGTCATATTTTCTTTAGCGCCATAAATATACAGTAAATCGGAATGTTGCAGGCTGGCAGCGATCATGATGAAGCGCCTTCCGCGGTGCGAGTCTCTTGCCGGATCTCTTATTTAATATGTCCGATAGCAATATAGCCGTATGTTGTAGATACTAGGTCGAACCTTAGATCATACACGAAGTACTTATATATATATATAGATATGCGTGTGTGTGTGTGTGCGTGGAAATTAATATAACACAGGTCAGACCATAAATATGTGCTTTACCCCAGATTTGGCCCAAATGGTTTACACTTAGATCTCTATGAGTGTCATCTATGTAGCTGATTATTACAAGTAGGTCTTCATACATCGAAGTTCATATAAACTCACATCGTCAGTACCGGTGACGTTTGTTTTGTACCATGTATGTATTTTAGATATAAGCTACAGTGTCTGAATAATAACGGTGTTGACCCCATAAATACACCCCACAAGCAGCATTGACATGCCGTGGCAATGCATTTGCGGCAGTGCGATTGCTAAAGTTGTTGTGTGAAGCCGGAGCCAGCATCAAACAGTCCATGATAATGGTGATGTTGTATGTTTTGCACGCAAAACACTGACCCTTACTTGTAGCTAGTTTCCTTGCCAACATGCACAAGGTTGACGTGGTGAATGAACACGATATCGATGAGCCAGCCGTGGATCCAGAGCAGGCCCGCGGATGCATTTTCATTTAGAAAATGCATGTTAGGTAAACAAAAAAACAGAGAGTCGTGAGTCCTAGGCAGGCCACTTTTGGCAGCTGTGGTATTCGATAGGCGTGACAACCTCCCCCCCCCCCCGGCCCATCTGCTATGCGATAAGTAAGAGGACCTACCTGACATGACCCTGAGCGAGCCCTATAGTAGCATGTAAGCCTTCTGCTTGCTTTAGCTGTATTAATTGTCTCCGACCCTTGCTACATGAAGGCTGCAGTGACGAATGGGCATGATGAGCCATCCGCGAATCCGGAGCAGGCCCACAGCTTGCATTCATAAACATGTCAGGGTATAGGGCATGGCGAGCATGCCATCAAGCTTAAGGCATCTGTGGTATGGCCGAATAGGTGTGACAAAGCCGTGGACAAGCATTTGAGCTGCCAGCCTTAAAGTGATGACTTCATGCGAGACACCCGTTGGATCGCTGTATATATATACGATCCTTTAACTAAGTATCATACATCTATCTGTTAGATGACTATTCAATCTTGTATTTACGATATATACCTGAACTTAATTCCTATCCCCTCGATCCTATATCCCAACATGTGCAAGGCAGCAGTGTGCGAGCACGATGAGCCAGCCACGAATCCCGAGCAGGCCTACGGCTGCATTCGGGGGTGGGTGGTTGGGGGGGGGGNNNGGGAAACAAATTAGAGCAAGCCAATCAAGGGTTGCAGGCTGAGTTCGTGTGCGATAAAGCGTGGATTTCGAAGCGGTCACTTGCTTCAATATGCATGTCCGTTTCTAGATCTATGTTTTATGATATACATGTGTATATATATAT